CCCCCTTTAGCTTTGTTTCGCTTAAAGCTGGGATATCCAACTTCTTTTCATTCATAACATTAAAGTTTTTCTTCTCTTTTTTTAGTATTTTCTACAGGAGAAGGGATTAATAGCCCATTCCTCCTAGCATTTTAGTCGCCTCAGACGACATGCATGACTTACGGAGGAAAGGTTCTTTTCCACTTCTCCATGTAGAATAGAGGAAATAAAGAAGAACAAGAACTATTAAGACTATATGTTAAGATTCTGTGTTGATAAAAAAAATGAATAAAATATGATCCCAGTAAACAGGTGATATCACAATATGCAGAACAACCACTGTGCAAAAATAGTGATGTTCCAAGCAATTTCATGACTTCTCACATTATCAAGGAACTATAAAAATAACAATCTTTTTATGATACATGATTCTATTATATTCCTGTCGACCATGGACTTGCTTAATACAACTTTCTCAGCCTTTTTAAAAATCAACTGGATGGTTAAAATATCTCACATGAATAAAAAGATCATTAGAATCTTGTCCACTTTTAATGCTGTATTTATTTTGTTTTATTTTTAGTTCAAGACTTTTACCAGTGTGATCATAATGAACTTTATCACACATTTTACCAGGTATCCTCGAACGCAGGCGAGAAAGATACATAATAATATACACTTGGAAGGTCCTGGAGGGATTGGTACCAAACCTGTACACGAAAATCACTCCATATGAAAGCAAAAGACTCATTCTCCCAGTGAAAAGCAGGGGAGCCACAAGTACACTGAGAGACAACACAATAAGTGCCCGGGGCCCAAGATTGTTCAATTGCCTCCCAGCATACATAAGGGGGATTACCAAAAGACCCCTGGCTGTCTTCAAGAAGGCACTGGACAGGCACCTAAAGTCAGTACCTGACCAACCGGGCTGTGGTTGGTCAGGTACTGCGTGCGGCCAGCATTAACAGCCTGATATTCAGACCCTCATCCACCATAAGGCCTGGTCTCAGACCGGGCCGCGGGGGCGTTGACCCCCGAAACCCTCTCCAGGTAAACTTCACGTATCTTATAGACACACCCATCAGCATTTTGTGGGGAATTTTTTATTAAAAGTTTTTTTTTACTGAATCAAGATTTTTAAATACAACTCCGCTATTAAAAGTCTTATGAAGAGAAGGCATATCAACCAAGTTTTTATGATAAGGGAAACCCAAACTATTTTTAGTTGAATTAGGATGGTTGTCCCTTTTTGAATTGTAAAAAAGTAGTACTGGCAATTTTAAGGGATTTGTCAATTAAGTTTCTTGGGTATTTGAGATCAATAGCTATTTTACACATTTTTGAGATTTCTTCCTCTATGAATTCTGGACTACAAATACACAAAGCTATCAAAAAACATTAATGAGAATACCGTCAGTTTAACTCTATCTTGATGTGATGAATAATAGTGTACATAATATTAAGCAAGTCCATTGTCGACAGGAATATAACAGAATCATATTACATGGAAAGCGGTTTTGAAAATAATATGAATATTTCTTTTGGTTTATATAAATTGGATTCATTTATAATTAATATAATTTGGGAAGAATTTAATGATACATTAGACAAGTAAAAAATCTTAATGATTGGGTAGAGTATCAGTTGTGTTTCACAGAGTCGGGTGTTGTGACGCGACTGTGAGGTGTAGTCTTGCCTTTATATGCGTTCCTATTGATTTTTTTTACAGTTCCTTAATAATGTGAGAAGTCACGAAAGCAAGATATATACAGACCTAACCATGCCTCTGGTGTTTACCTGGAGAGAGTTCCGGGGGTCAACGCCCCCGCGGCCCGGTCTGTGACCAGGCCTCCTGGTGGATCAGACCCTGATCAACCAGGCTGTTACTGCTGGCTGCACGCAAACCAACGTGCGAGCCACAGCCCGGCTGGTCAGGTACCGACTTTAGGTGCTTGTCCAGTGCCAGCTTGAAGACTGCCAGGCGTCTATTGGTAATTTCCCTTATGTATGCTGGGAGGCAGTTGAACAGTCTCGGGCCCCTGACACTTATTGTATGGTCTTTTAACGTGCTAGTGGCACCCCTGCTTTTCATTGGGGGGATGTTGCATCGCCTGCCAAGTCTTTTGCTTTCGTAGTGAGTGATTTTCGTGTGCAAGTTCGGTACTAGTCCCTCTAGGATTTTCCAGGTGTATATGATCATGTATCTCTTCCCCCTGCATTCCAGGGAATACAGGTTCAGAAACCTCAAACACTCCCAGTAATTTAGGTGTTTTATCTCCGTTATGCGCGCCATGAAGGTTCTCTGTACATTTTCTAGGTCAGCAATTTCACCTGCCTTGAAAGGTGCTGTTAGTGTGCAGCAATATTCCAGTCTAGATAGAACAAGTGACCTGAAGAGTGTCATCATGGGCTTGGCATCCCTAGTTTTGAAGGTTCTCATTATCCATCCTGTCATTTTTCTAGCAGATGCGATTGATGCAATGTTATGGTCCTTGAAGGTGAGATCCTCTAACATGATCACTCCCAGGTCTTTGACATTGGTGTTTCGCTCTATTTTGTGGCCAGAATTTGTTTTGTACTCTGATGAAGATTCAATTTCCTCGTGTTTACCATATCTGAGTAATTGAAATTTCTTATCGTTGAACTTCATATTGTTTTCTGCAGAGCACTGCAAGATTTAGTTGATGTCCGCCTGGAGCCTTGCAGTGTCTGCAATGGAAGACACTGTCATGCAGATTCGGGTGTCATCTGCAAAGGAAGACACGGTGCTGTGGCTGACATCCTTGTCTATGTCAGATATGAGGATGAGAAACAAGATAGGAGCGAGTACTGTGCCTTGTGGAACAGAGCTTTTCACCGTAGCTGCCTCGAACTTTACTCTGTTGACTACTACTCTTTGTGTTCTGTTAGTGAGGAAATTATAGATCCATCGACCAACTTTTCCTGTTATTCCTTTAGCACGCATTTTGTGTGCTATTACGCCATGGTCACACTTGTCGAAGGCTTTTGCAAAGTCTGTACATATTACATCTGAATTCTTTTTGTCTTCTAGTGCATCTAGGACCTTGTCGTAGTGATCCAATTGTTGAGACAGACAGGAGCGACCTGTTCTAAACCCATGTTCCCCTGGGTTGTGTAATTGATGGGTTTCTAGGTGGGTGGCGATCTTGCTTCTTAGGACCCTTTCAAAGATTTTTATGATATGGGATGTTAGTGCTATCGGTCTGTAGTTCTTTGCTATTGCTTTATTGCCCCCTTTGTGGAGTGGGGCTATGTCTGTTGTTTTTAGTAACTGTGGGACGACCCCAATGTCCATGCTCCCTCTCCATAGGATGGTAAAAGCTCGTGATAGGGGCTTCTTGCAGTTCTTGATGAACACGGAATTCCATGAGTCTGGCCCTGGGGCAGAGTGCATGGGCATGTCATTTATCGCCTGTTCGAAGTCATTTGGCGTCAGGATAACATCAGATAGGCTTGTGTTAACCAAATTCTGTGACTCTCTCATGAAAAATTCATTTTGATCTTCGACTCTCAGTCTGGTTAGCGGCTTGCTAAAGACTGAGTCATATTGGGACTTGAGTAGCTCACTCATTTCCTTGCTGTCATCTGTGTAGGACCCATCTTGTTTAAGTAGGGGCCCAATACTGGACGTTGTTCTCGACTTTGATTTGGCATAGGAGAAGAAATACTTTGGGTTTCTTTCGATTTCATTTATGGCTTTTAGTTCTTCCCGCGATTCCTGACTCCTATAAGATTCCTTTAGCTTAAGTTCGATGCTTGCTATTTCTCTGACCAGTGACTCTACGCATTTCAGTTATACTGACCTCTTTTAGCCGCTCTGTTATTCTTTTCTGTCGCCTGTAAAGGGAGCGCCTGTCTCTTTCTATTTCACATCTACTCCTCCTTTTTCTTAGAGGAATAAGCCTTGTGCATACATCGAGTGCCACCGAGTTAATCTGTTCTAGGCATAAGTTGGGGTCTGCGTTGCTTAGTCTATCTTCCCAGCTTATATCGGTTAGGGCTTGGTTTACTTTGTCCCACTTTGTTTTTGTTATTGAAGTTGAATTTGGTGGATGCTCCCTCTTGACTAATCTCATTATGTTGGTCTGGGGCTGTGCGCATGCATGTCTGAACCTCAATTATGTTGTGATCTGAGTATATTGTTTTTGATATGGTGACATTTCTTATCAGATCATCATTGTTAGTGAAGATGAGGTCTAGTGTATTCTCCAGTCTAGTAGGCTCTATTATTTGCTGGTTTAAATTGAATTTTGTGCAGAGATTTAAAAGCTCGTGTGAGTGTGAGTTTTCATCAGAGCTGCCTCCTGGTGTTATTACTGCAACAACATTATTTGCTATATTTCTCCATTTTAGGTGCCTTAAGTTGAAATCCCCCAGGAGCAAGATGTTGGGGGTAGGAGCTGGAAGATTTTCCAGGCAGTGGTCAATTTTTAACAGTTGTTCCTGTAATTGCTGGGATGTTGCATCCGGAGGCTTGTAGACTACCACAATGACAAGGTTTTGGTTCTCGATCTTTACTGCTAAAACTTCCACTACATCATTTGAGGCATTAAGCAGTTCTGTGTAAACAAGTGACTCTGCGATGTACAGGCCAACCCCCCCCCCTTTGCCTGTTCACTCTGTCACATCTGTATAGGTTGTAACCTGGGATCCATATTTCGTTGTCCAAGTGATCCTTTATGTGGGTCTTAGTGAAAGCTGCAAACATTGCCTTTGCCTCTGCAAGTAGTCCACGGATGAAAGGTATTTTGTTGTTTGTTGCTGGCTTTAGACCCTGTATATTTGCAAAGAAGAATGTCATCGGACTGGTGGTATTGTTGGTACGGGGGGGGGGGATTTTTTCTCCGGCATTAGTATCTGTATCTGTTGGTTTGGAGTGGAGGCCATCGACTGTGGTTCCACTCCAGGAATAAAATAACTACTCTCTAATTACCCAACCACCTCCATTAACGACACAACATCAACACCAGTTACGCCACTAATGGGCCTTTCCTCCGCAGGTGTACGTGCTGCAGAATGGTAAGAAGGTGATGAAGAAGAAGACAAGTGTGAAGAAAGATACACGATCACCTGTTTTCAACGAAGCCATGATCTTCAGCGTCCCAGCACCCGCGCTACACGTAAGCCAAGGGCAGGGGGGCCTCTTCTTAGGCCTAAGGGAATGGGCCTCCTTGTTGGCTTAGGGCAGGGGCCTCCTCCTGGAGCTAGGGCAGAGATCTGTAGCTAGGCCTAAGGAAGGGGCTTGTACATAGACCTACAGCAAAGGGCTTCCAAGTTGGCCTCGGGCAGGGGGTGTACGCATAGGCCTAGGGCAGGGTGGAATGGCACTGATATATGAATGGGCCACGCAGAGGTCTCCTCATTGGCTTCAGAGAAAGGGGAAAAAGTACAGGATAATGGGAAGGTTAGGCAAAGATTGAGACTAGGTAAGAAAGAGAGAGCGAGAGCGAGCGAGAGAGAGAGAAGAGCAGAGCAGAAATCAGCAACTACAGACCAGTGTCACTCTTGTCAATCACTGGTAAGATCCTTGAGACAATAATCTCAAGACAAATGACAGAGTTTTTTGACTACCACTCACTACTTTGTGATCGTCAATATGGCTTCAGGAAAGGTTACTCTGCTGCTGATCTGTTGTTAAACCTCTCCACTAAGTGGCACCAGTCACTGGATGAATCCAAAGTCAGCTGTGTGGTAGCACTGGACATTGCTGGCGCTTTCGACCGGGTGTGGCACCAGGGCCTCTTAGCAAAACTTCAAGCACTGGGAATTGCAGGCTCTACGCTATGTCTCCTCAGTGATTACTTTCATGGTAGATCTCTAAGTGTAGTTCTCAATGGAACGGAATCAGCAAGACATCCTATTGGGGCAAGTGTTCCACAAGGAAGCATGCTGGGTCCATTGTTATGGAATGTCTACTTCAACGACCTTCTTCATCTCATCCCAGAATCACATGCATATGCAGACGACTGTACACTGACATTCACTTATCCAAGAGAAGAAATGCCAGCTGCTCTAAGCTACATCAATCACCAGCTGAGAGCTGTATCAGCTTGGGGAAATAGATGGCAAGTAACATTTGCACCTGAGAAAACGCAAATGATGATCGTCTCTAGGCACCATGATGGTAATGCTGGGGCAGTAGTAAGGATGAATGGGAGGGTGTTGGCACCTGGAGAAGAAGTTGATATCCTTGGGGTGAAATTTGACTCCAAACTAACCATGAAGAACCATGTTGTAAATCTTGCAAACAAGGCAGCCAGGAAGCTTACAGCACTTCGCCGTATCTCGCATCCGCTTGACAGTAGGGGTTGCAAGATCCTGTACGAGGCACAAGTACGCTCACACCTTGAGTATGCTCCACTTTCTTGGTTTGCCTGCCCCCCCCCCCCTCTCATCTGCGACTGCTTGACAGAGTAGAGAACAGAGCAAGACGTCTCATCTCTCGCCTGGACATAGGAGGGATGTGGGTGGCCTTACTGTTATGTACAAGGCCAATATTGTCAAAATACCACACTTGGATCCACTTCGAGGACAGCGTGAAACAAGCTTTTATGCCACAAGACGGGCAGAAAGCAGCAACTTCACTCTGGCTGTACCCATCTCCAGAACATCACTCCATCTGAGATCATACATACCCAGGATGACTCGAGTATGGAACACATTTGTACAGCATAATGATGTCAACGAGATAAAGTCAGTTGATCAAATGAAAATGCTGGCCCACAGATGGCTCCAACTTCATCCTGTTCCCTACTTGTATGTCTCATAACAATAAAAATGCTTTCAAATGAGCTGATGTAGGTAACAGCTCTTAGCTTGTCAATAAAGTTAGGGATCCTTAACCTTGTCAAACCCTGTGTAAAAAAAAAAAAAAAAAAAAGAGAGAGAGAGAGAGAGAGAGAGAGAGAGAGAGAGAGAGAGAGAGAGAGAGGAGAGAGAGAGAGAGAGAGAGAGAGAGAGAGAGAGAGAGAGAGAGAGAGAGAGAGAGAGAGAGAGAGAGAGAGAGATTCACTAATTAATAATCTTGAGATTAATGATGAGCTTGGGGAAAGTGATCACAAATCACTTAGTTTCAATATATCATGGAATTACCCAGATAACTGCAATCAAATCTCTGTCCCACATTTTCGCTTGGCCGACTTCATGGGACTGAAAAATTACCTGGTTGAGCAAAATTGGGATGTCCTGACTATGGGTTAGGTGGGTGATCTTGGTTGCCAATATGACGTTTTTCAGAGCATAGTTCTAGCTGCCCATACAACTTTTGTTACAAGTAGGGAAATTAGATCTAACAAAAATGATCCCAAATGGATGAACAATACATTAAAACATCTCATTGGTCAAAAGTTGTTAGTTTAATATGTTTATTATGCACCCCATACCCATCCTGTGGGCGGTAGTCAAAAGATTACAGAGGTACATAATGGGTCCAGGGACTGGACTCAAAAGTTTTGATTGCTGAGCAAGTAACAGAGGTAATGAACTCACAATTTACAAAGGTAATGAACTCACAATTTACAAATGTAATGAACTCCTGGTAGGTCTGGCCACAATCATGACAAGTTACAAAGGTATTTACAGATTACAGAGGTACGTAATGGGTCCAGGGACTGGGCCCCCAAAGTTTTGATAGCTGAACTAGGTACAAAGGTAATGAGCTCACAAGTTACAAAGGTAATGAATTCTGTAAGAATGGTTACTTACGTTTATACATGGCTACAATCATGAACAAATTATAGTGTAATGAGCCATTGGTCAAAAGAGAGGCATATATAGGCGTATCAAAAGAGGGGATGGGCAATTAAGAAATCAATATATTCAATTAAAGAGAGAAATAAAGAAAGGAATAAGAAAAGCAAAAAGGGATTATGAGGCTAAGGTAGCAAGGGATTCAAAGATTAACACAAAAGGGTTCTTTCAGGTATACAGAAGTAAGATTAGGGACAAAATTGGCCCACTTAAGAGTAAGTCTGGTCAGATCACTGACAGTGATAAGGATATGTGTGAAATTCTCAATACCTACTTCCTCTCAGTTTTCACCCAGGAAAATACTAGCGATATTCCTGAAATAATAGATTATGTAGAACAGGATGATAATAAACTATGCACGATTGCGGTAACTAGTGACATGGTCCTCAGACAAATAGAGAAACTAAAACCTAACAAATCCCCAGGTCCTGATGAACTGTTTGCAAGGGTGTTAAAGGAATGTAAAGAGGAACTTAGCATACCTTTGGCTAATCTTTTTAAAATATCACTACAAACTGGCATAGTGCCTGATAAGTGGAAAATGGCAAATGTAATACCTATTTACAAGGCAGGTGACAGGTCCTTTGGCTTCGAACTATAGACCAATAAGCCTTACCTCCATAGTGGGAAAATTTATGGAATCAATAATTGCCGAAGCAATTCGTAACCAACTTGATAGGCACAGATTGATTAATGAATCTCAACACGGTTTTACAAAGGGGCGTTCCTGTCTTACGAATTTACTAACTTTTTTCACTAAGGTGTTTGAGGAGGTAGATCATTGTAATGAAATGATATTGTGTATATGGACTTCAGTAAGGCTTTCGATAGAGTTCCACATCAGAGGCTATTGAGGAAACTTAAGGCACACGGAATAGAAAGAGAATTCTTTTTCTGGGTAAAGGCATGGCTGACAAATTGGCAGCAGAGAGTTTGCATAAATGGGGAGAAATCAGAATGGGGGCAAGTCACAAGCGGTGTTCCTCAGGGGTCAGTGTTGGGCCTATTGTTGTTCACATAAACGACATAGATAAGAGAATAAATAGCAACATAAGCAAATTTGCTGATGACACTAAAATAGGCCGTCCAATTCATTCTAATGAGGACACTAGAGCACTCCAGGATGATTTGAATAGACTGATGCAATGGTCGGAGAAGTGGCAGATGCAGTTTAATATTGACAAATGCAAAGCTCTAAATGTTGGACAGGTAAATAACCATGCCACATATAAACTAAATAATGTAGATCTTAATACTACAGATTGCGAAAAGGATTTAGGAGTTCTGGTTAGCAGTAATCTAAAACCAAGACAACAGTGCATTAGTGTTCGCAATAAATAGAATTCTTTTCTTCATATCTAGAAGTATAAATAATAGAAGTCCTCATGTTGTTCTTCAACTCTATATATCCTTGGTTAGGTCTCATTTAGACTATGCTGCTCAATTCTGGTCACCGTATTGCAGAATGGATATAAATGCTCTGGAAAACCTACAGAGGAGGATGACAAAGATGATCCCATGTAACAGAAATCTTCCCTATGAGAATAGACTGAGGGCCCTGAATCTGCACTCTCTCAAAAGGTGTAGAATTAGGGGGGATATGATCGAGGTGTATAAATGGAAAACAGGAATAAATAAAGGGGATGTAAATAGCGTGCTGAAAATTTCCAGCCAAGACAGGACTCGCAGCAATGGTTTCAAGTTGGAAAAATTCAGATTCAGGAAGGATATAGGAAAGCACTGGTTTGGTAATAGAATTGTGGATGAGTGGAATAAACTCCCGAGTACAGTTATTCAGGCTAAAACGTTGTGTAGTTTTAAAAATAGGTTAGACAAATGCATGAGTGGCTGTGGGTGGGTGTGAGTTGGACCTGACTAGCTTGTGCTGCTAGGTCTGGTGCCGTGTTCCTTGAGTGGAGGTGACCAGATTGGGTGGGTCATTAGGCTAATCCAGGGGTGGTGGGTCATTGGGCTAATCCGAGGGGGACATGGACCTGCTCCGCATGGGTCAGTAGGCATGTTGCAGTGTTCCTTCTTTCTTATGTTCTTATGTTCTTATGAGAGAGAGAGAGAGAAAGAGAAAGAGAGAGAAAGACACGGACAGACAGACAGACAGAAAGACAGAGACAGAGACAGAGCGACAAAGGGACAGAGAGATCTGTTAACTTCATTAGCTCACACAAACACACACACATTCACACACACACACACACACACACACACACACACACACACATACACATACACACAGCAAGACTGAGGGACAAAGAGGGGTACCAGAGAGTATACCTCGACCGCGACAGAACACAAGAAGAAAGGACTACACTGAAAGAGAGGGTACAGAGACGCAAGGAGGAACGAGAAGCAATGAAAATGAGCAGGACCCAGACACAGGAGGAAGGGCAAACACACCCCACAGAATCTCCCACCAAAAGACCCCACCCGCGACATTCCCAACGCAACTGAGCAACCTATACTACAACCCACTCACTGTTCCCTCTGCCACCAACCCCCATATCACAAACCTCACCCCAACAGCTGTCCCTTATGGGCATTCTGACCCCACCCCCATCAACACATACCCCACCTACACCACAGCCCCATATAGGCCCCCACCAAGGCTCTCGCTCCCCCAACCCCAATATACTTGCATGACCACAATGATAGAAAAGAAACTAAAGTTTGGTACACAAACGCGGATGGAATAACGAATAAACATGAGGAGTGGAATGAAAGAATCAGTGAAAAATCCCCAGACATCATAGCAGTCACAGAAACAAAACTCGCTGAGACAATAACAGACACAATCTTCCCAACAGGATATCAGATCCTGAGGAAAGATAGAAGGAGTAGAGGGGGAGGAGGGGTTGCACTGCTCATAAAACACCAATGGGGATTTGAGGAAATGGAAGGCATGGACATGATTGGAGAAAGAGACTACATTGTAGGCACAATTCAGTCCGGAGAACATAAAGTAGTCATTGGAGTGATGTATAACCCACCACAGAACTGCAGGAGGCCAAGAGAGGAGTACGAAGAAAACAACAGGGTGATGGTGGACACACTGGCTGAGGTGGCAAGAAGAGCTCACTCGAGCAGAGCAAAGTTACTGGTAATGGGCGATTTCAACCACAGGGAGATCGACTGGGAAAACCTGGAGCCACATGGGGGTCCCGAAACATGGAGAGCCAAGATGATGGATGTGGTACTTGAAAACCTCATGCATCAACATGTCAGGGACACAACCAGAGAGAGAGGGGAGGATGAGCCAGCAAGACTGGATCTTGTGTTCACCCTGAGCAGTTCAGACATCGAGGACATCACTTACGAGAGGCCCCTTGGAGCTAGCGATCATGTGGTTCTGAGTTTTGACTATATAGTAGAGTTACAAGTGGAGAAGGTAACAGGAACTGAAGGGGACAGGCCAAACTATAAAAGGGGGGACTACACAGGTATGAGAAACTTCCTGCAGGAGGTTCAGTGGGACAGAGAAATGGTAGGAAAATCAGTAAACGAGATGATGGAATATGTGGCAACAAAGTGCAGGGAGGCAGAGGAAAGTTTTGTTCCCAAGGGAAACAGAAATAATAGGAAGACCAAAACGAGTCCTTGGTTTACCCGAAGGTGTAGGGAGGCAAAAACTAAGTGCAACAGAGAATGGAAAAGGTACAGGAGGCATAGGACCCAGGAAAACAAGGAGATTAGTAGAAGAGCCAGAAACGAGTATGCGCAGATAAGGAGGGAGGCCCAGCGACAGTATGAAAACGACATAGCATCGAAAGTCAAATCTGACCCGAAACTGCTGTATAGCCACATTAGGAGGAAGACAACAGTCAAGGACCAGGTGATAAGGCTGAGGAAAGAAGGTGGAGAACTCACAAGAAACGATCAAGAGGTATGTGAGGAGCTCAACACGAGATTTAAGGAAGTATTTACAGTAGAGACAGGAAGGACTCTGGGGGGACAGACCAGATGGGGACACCAACAAGGAATACACCAACAAGTGTTGGACGACATACATACAGATGAGGAGGAGGTGAAGAAACTGCTAAGGGACATCGATACCTCAAAGGCAATGGGACCGGACAACATCTCTCCATGGGTCCTTAGAGAGGGAGCAGATATGTTGTGCATACCACTTACCACAATCGTCAACACATCCCTGGAAACTGGGCAACTACCTGAGGTATGGAAGACGGCAAATGTAGTTCCCATTTTCAAAAAAGGAGACAGAAAAGAGGCACTAAACTATAGACCTGTGTCATTGACGTGTATAGTATGCAAAATTATGGAGAAGATTATCAGGAGGAGAGTGGTGGAGCACCTGGAACGGAAAAGGAGTATAAATGCCAACCAGCACGGATTCACGGAAGGCAAATCCTGTGTCACAAACCTTCTGGAGTTTTATGATAAAATAACAGAAGTAAGACAAGAGAGAGAGGGGTGGGTTGATTGCATCTTCTTGGACTGCAAGAAGGCCTTTGACACAGTTCCTCACAAGAGATTAGTGCAGAAGCTAGAGCATCAGGCGCATATAACAGGAAGGGCACTGCAATGGATCAGAGAATACCTGACAGGGAGGCAACAACGAGTCATGGTACGTAATGATGTATCACAGTGGGCACCTGTGACGAGCGGGGTCCCACAGGGGTCGGTCCTAGGACCAGTGCTATTTTTGGTATATGTGAACGACATGACGGAAGGGTTAGACTCAGAAGTGTCCCTGTTTGCAGATGATGTGAAGTTAATGAGGAGAATTAAATCTGATGAGGACCAGGCAGGACTTCAAAGAGACCTGGACAGACTGGACACCTGGTCCAGCAAATGGCTTCTCGAATTTAATCCTGCCAAATGCAAAGTCATGAAGATAGGGGAAGGGCACAGAAGACCACAGACAGAGTATAGGCTAGGTGGCCAAAGACTGCAAACCTCACTCAAGGAGAAAGATCTTGGGGTGAGTATAACACCGAGCATGTCTCCGGAAGCACACATCAATCAGATAACTGCTGCAGCATATGGGCGCCTGGCAAACCTGAGAACAGCATTCCGACACCTTAGTAAGGAATCATTCAAGACACTGTACACCGTGTATGTCAGGCCCATACTGGAGTATGCAGCACCTGTTTGGAACCCGCACTTGATAAAGCACGTCAAGAAACTAGAGAAAGTACAAAGGTTTGCAACAAGGTTAGTTCCAGAGCTAAGGGGAATGTCCTATGAAGAAAGATTAAGGGAAATCGGCCTGACGACACTGGAGGACAGGAGGGTCAGGGGAGACATGATAACGACATATAAAATACTGCGTGGAATAGACAAGGTGGACAAGGACAGGATGTTCCAGGGAGGGGACACAGAAACAAGAGGCCACAATTGGAAGTTGAAGACACAAATGAGTCAGAGAGATAGTAGGAAAGTATTTCTTCAGTCACAGAGTTGTAAGGCAGTGGAATAGCCTAGAAAATGACGTAGTGGAGGCAGGAACCATACACAGTTTTAAGACGAGGTTTGATAAAGCTCATGGAGCGGGGAGAGAGAGGGTCTAGTAGCAACCGGTGAAGAGGCGGGGCCAGGAGCTAGGACTCGACCCCTGCAACCACAAATAGGTGAGTACAAATAGGTGAGTACACACACAAACACACACACAAACACACACACACACACACACACACACACACACACACACACACACACACACACACACACACACACACACACACACGCACACGCACACGCATAGTGTTGAGTAAAAAATATCTGTGCACCTCGTGATGGAAATTAAAGAAAACCCTTACTGTTACGCCTGTTTCTACCTTTTCTTCATCACTCCAAGCCGTACCCATTCCCTGACCATCGAACACTTTTCCAGTTCACATAGGACTCTCCATTCCCTAGCTACCCACTAATACACACACATTCTTCTTACTTGACCCCTTCACTTACTTTCTTCACAGGTGTATGTCTCTGACTGTATAGGTAGGTAGGTAGGTATAATGTTTTTCAGGAAACAGGAGAAGTGTTTCCTGACGCGAGTCTTAGTCATATGATGACTAAGATCCTTGATCATCTGACCGAGGACTTCCGTTGGCCTCCCGTCCACCTCTCTAAAAATCATAGTTATTATTATAACCATTAGTTAATCTGAGGGTATACACGCTGAATTTACTCTTATGCCTATTTTAAGTATTAAAATATTCTTGGTTGGTGGTAAACAAGTGGCACGCAGCATTAATTAACCCTTGAGTAGTCGATAAGCTTTAAACCCCATTAACCAATTTAATTTTCTTCCAACATGCTTTACTTTTCAATTCTACCGCTTCTTCAGCCCACCCCAACCAAACCCACCCTCTTCCTCCTTAGGACGCCCTTATAAAAACCTATTAAATCACCCACCTTGACGAATCCCAACAGCTGCAACTTCTACACCAAGGAACACCAATAAACAATACAGAAAGTGCAGCCAGAGTCATCAGCACTACCTGAACCAAATAAGAAGACAAAGACGTAAGTTTTAGTAAACTTTAATTAGGACAACTCTTCACTATGTAAAGTTCTATCAAGCATTGATTTGGCAGAAGTCTGTACAGAGTTTAAACATTTATAGGAAATTTCTTCTTTTATATGGACACACACTTTACTGTGGGTTTAAGTGTAAAAGTGAAAAACGTGTGAAAAGTGTGAAAGTGAAAAAAGAGTAAATGTGAGGATACGTAAAAGCCGTAGGAACCAGACAGAGAAAATCAAGATAAATTCTAGTGTGATGTAGGTCATCTGTGCATGTAAGGTCAAAGGTTGACCTAACCAGCCAGTTGACCTACATCACAGAGCAGTATCAATTCTCTGTATCAATAGCCCTTTAACAGTATCAAGGCAATTGATAAATTATTTGTTAGTGAAATTTTTTTCTGTGTAATGGGTGATGTTAAAATCAAATTAAAAACCTTTGGCCTATCTGCACAGGACGGTCGGGTCTAAAATAAGAAATAAATCAGACATGAGTTAATGAACGCTGATTAAACTGAAGAATTTAGACTAATGTCTTCATGAAAAATAGGAAGAAATGCATTTGAAAGAGATCTGTTGCACCATCTTCTTGCTTCCCACAGAACATACAGTTGCGGGTGACGGTCGCTGAATACAACAGCGAGGGAGGTCCAGCCAGGTCGGTGGGGCACGTCATCGTGGGCACACAGGCCACCGGCAAGGCTCTCTCACACTGGAACCAGATGATGTCCGCCCTCAGAAAGCCCATTG